TTAGGATCTCATTCTAGGAGTACCTGTACCCGTGTATGTTACCTGCACCCCTGTATATTACCTGTACCCCTGTATATTACCTGTACCCCTGTATATTACGGTCCCTTAAGAAATCGTCCAAAAGTTTCTTGAACAATTCCACATTATTTGCTGAAATCACCGCCTGTGGCAGTGAGTTCCAGACCCCAACTGATCTTACTGTGAAGAACCCCCTTCGCCCCTTGTGCTGGAATTTTTTTTCCACCAATTTTAGGTGGTGGCCTCTAGTTTTTGTAATGGAGTTAATTTTAAACAGTTTATCGCTAATGTTGCTGCCACCATTGAACATTTTGTACATGGAGATCATATCCCCCCTTAATCTCCTCACCTCTAATGTGAACATGTTTAAATTTAGTAGCCTCGTCTCGTAGCTCTGGTCCTCCATACCCCTAATTAGTTTGGTTGCCCTCCGCTGGACTTTTTCCAACTCAAGGACATCTTTTCTTAGTACTGGTGACCAGAACTGGACCGCGTACTCCAGATGAGGTCGAACCAATGATCTATAAAGTGGCAAAATTATAGACTTGTCCCTGCAATACATCCCCTTTTTAATGCAGGTCACACACTGCACGGAATTCAGCCTAACCTCTGGAATCTATTTTTCATGGCTTCCTCGGGCAACGCCCCCAACTCCACTTCATTAGGGAGCAGATAACTGTTATCTATTGATTGGACATCTAAACAAACATCAGCGCTGTTGAGGTCCCTGAATAACAAGTCCCCCCGGATAATGATCAGAGACAACAATCTATTTGCTCTAAAGATGAAGTCCTACAAAGACATCTCCAGCCTCATTCCGAGTCCCATGTTTGCCAACACGGCTATCTGAAGCCATTTTCTGAAAGGGAGCTTTGTCACTGTGGCACGAAACAGAGGAGCCTCTCTTGTTTTGCACGTGTGACCAGAATATCAAGGGGATTATGGAAGGTGCAGAGGACAGGAATCCCATGTGGGAGACTGGAGAGCTGCCCCGCGATGATGGGAGATGGTGACACATGTTTGGCTGAGGGAGCTTTGCTCTCCTGCCAGAATTCTTTGACATGTTGCATGTGAAGTCTGCATGTGACACGACTGTCAGAGAAACAACACAATGTTCACGCCGTGTAGTCTTTAAAGCTGACCTCCATCCTTCACTTCAGTCTTATATCTGACCTCCGGTCTTCTCTTCTATCTGACCTCCGTCATTCCCTTCGGTCTTATATCTGACCTCCGTCCTACCCTTCAGTCTTCTATCTGACCTCCGTCCTTCCCTTCAGTCTTCTATCTGACCTCCGTCCTTCCCTTCAGTCTTATATCTGACCTCCGTCCTTCCCTTCAGTCTTATATCTGACCTTCGTCCTTCCCTTCAGTTTTCTATCTGACCTCTGGCCTTCCCTTCAATCTTATATGTGACCTCCGTCCTTCCCTTCAGTCTTCTATCTGACCTCCGTCCTTCCCTTCAGTCTTCTATCTGACCTCCGTCCTTCCCTTCAGTCTTATATCTGACCTCCGTCCTTCCCTTCAGTCTTATATCTGACCTTCGTCCTTCCCTTCAGTCTTCTATCTGACCTCTGGCCTTCCCTTCAATCTTATATGTGACCTCTGTGCTTCCCTTCAGTCTTATATCTGACCTCCGGCCTTCCCTTCAGTCTTGCACAGTTGTGCCGTCTCCTCTCTTGAACTCGCTTACTTTGATTCCACAGCACACTGGAAGTTTCTCACAATGTGCATTAGAAGCTGCAGCAAGTCAGAGAGAGCCTGCCTCATTTTCTGGCTGGAGGACATCTAGCATCATCTAGCACTTTCCTCCCCCAGCCTGATTGTCCTGACCCGCCCCTTTCGTTCATTGGATTTCAGTTCTTTCAATCATGGAAGCTCAGGATCGCATGTGGGGTGTGGTCTGCATGCAAACATAATCTGCCTAGAAACACCCACAGCTCCAGACTAACATGTGTTAGTCAAGTGTTTGGATATTTGCATAACTCCTCCCAAGAGCCGTCCCACTGCTTGTATAAGGGCTGAGGGCTCTAGAGTGCTGAGGTAGGGTGCTGTGATGTTTTGTACAGTCCCCTGCTGGCTCCTCACACCTTCCATGATCTCCCTGCATTGCATTAGGAAGCACAGAGAGCCGGCGATGATGTCACTGGGTATAACATAAGGAATGTAATGAAAACAGAAAGGATTTATTTAACAACTTTCATGAGCGTGTCAAAGTATAGTGGGACTGCAGCCAAACCACGCTTCTAGTTGTAGATAGAGTGGGAAGGGTTAAAACATCTTTTTATTGCTGTCTTTGCCTCGTTAGGGAGATTTCCCCTCACTTCCTGTCCCAATAGCCACAAAGAGACACAGACAGTAATAAAAAGCTAAGAGCTAAGCTGAACAAACAGGATGAGCCGTCCGAAATGCGCACCGTGGCTGTTCCTGTTGGCACCCTTCCGCCCAGCATCCTTCAATCAAAAAAATCAAAGGAACCGGTCAAAAAATATTCTGTACGTGGTTTTTTTTTTTTAACTAATCGAACAGATATAATGAAACACTTCCACTGGTCTATTAAACAGACAAAAACAGACCAAAAGTTTGCAAATAAGAGAAGTTCATTGTTGGGGTTTACTGACACGTTAATATGATGTCATGCCACCACAATTCAGAGTCCTGGAACAGAATATGGAGCACCATCCATGAGTTGGGCCACCAGAAGGCCAATGTCTGTATTAGGTCTCATCTAGAGCCATCATCTCTACCCTTCTATGTATATTTTGGAGCTATGCCACCCAACATCCTAATGGCTGCCCATTTCCTGTCTGCTCTAGAATCCGTATGATGTACTCAGTATATATTGTGGCAGTGTAAGCCAATGCCACGGTGTAGTCTGGCAACTATGGCACCCAGGACTCTCAGCCACAGGGGCTGAGAGGGTCCAGAGAGTAAACCGTTTTGTAAGGAAGAACCTGGCCTTTCAGATTCCTCCAGGGTTTCAGAATTGTAGCTGGGATCTGGAGCTCTGGAGATTTCTTAGGCCCGGTTCACACCTAGGCGTGTTGTAGCGCGTTCCTACGCTCTGCAAAACGCTCAAACACCGAAATCCCATTATTTCCTATGGGCATGGTTCACACCTGGGCGTATTACAGGCCGTATGAACGTGCTACAAAACGCCCTACGCCCAAAGAAGTACAGGAGCTTCTTTGGGGCGTTTTTGTCGCGCGTATCCATTGGGATACAACCAGGTAGCCCTCAGAAACGCGCGTTTTTTTAACCGCGAATCGCACGATACGAAAACGCGCGACAAGCGCGCATATTCAAAACGCCTAGGTGTGAACCCAGCCTTAGCGCTCTGGGTGGGAGGAAATCTCCAGTCCTGGGGCCAGGTGTTGCCAATGACCAGCTTGGGCTGATCAGGTGGCTGAGAGCAGCCTACTTGGGAAGCAAGCCCAGTGCTCAGTGTTGTGGGAGTTGGAGTTGTGTGTGCATGCGTGTAGGAGGCACACGGACTCAGGTGCGTGCTGGATGCACGAAGGAACAGCCGGGGGAGGCTGGGAGAGGTTAGGATGGTCGGTGACCCTAGGACCTGTGGTACACACTGCTGAGAGAGCAGATTGAGGGGTCACAAGGGGTGAGCAGCGAGAGTTTCTTGGAGCTGTGAAAAGCTACAGAGCGAAGCTAAAAAAATTGTCCTGTATGTTGCTGCTAGAAACTGTCTTGAGTAACAGGGGAGGTCTACCCTGCGGATGGAATGAGATATTTGCTGTTTGCCCTTAATAAAACTACATTTTACTTGCACCTCCTGTCTGCAGTGGAGTGTCCTTGTTACAATATATTTGTCTATTCTATATTTTGCCCTTACAAGACTTTAGGTGGCCGTTCAGTATTTCCATGGCGGACCTTTTTCTGATGTTACAAAGCACCAGTCACTTTGAAGCAGTCCATCAATTCCCATCGTTAATGGTCCCTCTATCACGTCTCGCATGGCCTTTTGACAGCTTTTTAGGGAGCTCCACTATTTGGGATGATAAATGGCCTATACACCAGAGTGGTACAAATTTCTTACAGCTAATTATGTTTGTACCTCACCGGGAGAGAAAGAATTGCCCTCAGCGTGTTGGAGACAAGAGGTGGCAGCGCCAAGGGCCTACCACCATCGACGAATGTTTTCCAACACTGGTGACCCCTCGAAATAATTGCAACCTCTAGTGGTAAATGTGATAGCAAACATATAGAGGGCATTGTCCTCCCCTGACAAATGGAAATGTCTTAAGCCCCCTTTCGAAATTCACATTTCTCCCCCGGTCTGACAAAGCCCCCTTAGACGCTTTAAAACGGCGATCAAAGGGCAATCAATTCAGGTTTGGAAACGGTCGTCAGCAAAGCCGCTCCGCTATTCAACTGAGTAGTCAATCTTGCCCAGGAATGTCGAAAATGACACTTTCACAGGACTTAGCCAAAAATGTAAAAAAAATAAATAAATACATTTCGGGGGGGTAAAAAAAAAAAAAATTGGAGAAAGTGGTCGGGCGCCAACGGCGCTTCAAAAGGAAATGAAAACCCAAATTACTTCTCTATTTACTTAGTGTCAGCGAAGGGTACAAAATACTGTCAAAGCCCCCACCCAAGAGCTTTCGGATGACAGGGATGCTGGAAAGAGAGAGAGAGAGAGAAGTCTTGTCTAAACTTCTCAGACCCTCTCCCAGCATGGGGTCTGCATGCTTTTCTGCCCCATTGTTCCGAAACTTCATAAAGAAAAAAAAAAAAGGAGGAGGAAGAAGAGGGTGAAAAAAAAAAAATCGCACAAAAGCTGTTGAAAACATCCTTAATAACACATTCTAAATAATTTGGCAAAACTGGATGGAAGAACGGGACAGGAAGCACAAACTCGAATTTTAGCTGCAAGACCAGGTTCCCCACCAATAACTTATTTGAACCTCGCATTTCGGAAAGGGGCTTTTTTTGGGGGTTATTTAACCTGTCGGGCATTGAACGTCCCTCGGCTGTTTTTCAGAAGAATGTTTTTGATGGTTCTCTTTGTGAGCTGCGTCTTCCTGCCGCTAGGATGGGGTACGCAGGTGAACTATTGCCATTGCGGCCAAGCCTTGAAGGCTGGTGGACACGACCTATTGACTTCCCGACGTCACCCAAGGCACCTCCACCACCACCGACCCAAGAGAAGACACCGCGTGAGAGGTAAGAGCCAAAACCGGTGGCTTGCTGAACTCCTGTCCACATCAATTACCATTTCCTAGTCAGAGACCTCCTAAGGTGGTCACGGTGGAAGTTCAAGTTTATTGCAGATATCTTTTTGCAGCAAGTTTTGGGTGGGTAAGGGACACAATGCAGAAATGTGTTAAAATATAAGAAAATGGGCCCAAGTGTATGTTGTCTGGACACACTGGACACAGGTATTTCACAGATGGCTTTCCTGTATTTTTCTTTAGATATAATTGGTCATCATCGATAACCAACGAGAGTGAAAATCTGAGATGAGATAACATGCGAGAATTAATTTTTCCTTTTGCTGCTTTTTGTATTGTAAGGATTTCTATAATAGTAAACAGATCAGAATGATCATTGTAGTCCACGCCACTTAGATATTAAGCTAACTGGGGCTAAAGACACCCATAGACGTGAAATGATTGTCCAATATTGGATGATGATCCCCCGTGTTTGTGGGCACCTGCACATATTCCTGGTCCACCAGAGACAATTGCAATCAGTTGTTTTTGGATATTTTGGGGTTATCAAAAAGGGGCACAATCTGACCAGCTGATATTTATTCCCAGTTTTACTGTCCATGGAATGCGACTTTTATTTAAAAAAAATACATATATTTTCAGCTGACATTGTTCATCGTGTCGTCTAACATGATGGCGTGTAAATGTACAAATATATATAGGCGCAGATGGGTTTGTTTTGCCCTGTAGAAAGTAAACAGTTCTTCTATGTAACTTCATTGAAGAATTACAGGTGGTTCTGGACAGATTGCTGTCCACCAATATCTGCTGCTATCCGCCGGTTACCACCACTGTCCGCCGCTAACCACCGCTGTCCGCCGCTAACGACCGCTGCCTGCCGCTAACCACCGCTGCCTGCCGATAACCACCACTGTCTGCTGCTATCCACCACTGTCCGCACCTAACTACTGTTGTCTGCCGTTATCCACCACTGTCTGCCACTATCCACCGCTGTCCGCCACTAACCACCACTGTCGGCCACTATCCGCCGCTGTCCACCGCTAACCACCGTTATTTGCATGTACATCCAGCAGTTACCTGCAGCTAAAGACAAAAATGGCCGGCACTGGACACAATCCCTCTGCAACCAGCGCCGGTCATTTGTCCCCAGCCGTAGATAACTGCTGGATGTACGAATACAGGCAGATAGCGGTGGATAGTGGCAGATAGCGGCAGACAGCTGCGACTCATGTCATTGCTATGTACAGGCTGAGCGGCCGCAGCTCTCTGGATCCACCTGTGATCCTTGCCGCCAGAATCTGCACCCGGACCTCTTTTACTCATGTTATTTAAATTTTAGTGTTTTGGGGTTTTGTGTTGACCACATTCATTGGTCAGTTTATTTGTTTGTCTTAGGGTACATTTACACTACGGTGTTACGGTGACGCGCGTTTGCTGTTACGCACATTATTTGCATTGGTGTGATGCGGTGGTATGCATCTGAATAATACCCCAATGCACTTCACCGACAGATGTGCATTGCAGTGCAGGTGCATGCACCTATATTTTTTTCAGTGCACAACATATTAGTGTGTTTCTATTGGCAAGGTACATTGGGGTCTTTCAGAACGAATGGCATGGCATCACACCAATGCATTGAACCTTACCATCTTGTCTTGACCTGTATTGTGATTGTAATGTCTTCCTTATATTGTACAGCGCTGCGCAAACTGTTGGCGCTCTATAAATCCTGTATAATAATAATAATAATGTACATTGTAGTAAAGCATATGGGAATGCCGCATTATAGCGATGCAATGTGTGGCTGTTGGTATGACGGAACCAGGTACTTGTTAGTTGTTCAGTCCGGTTATTGATAAAGTAGATCTAAACCCAATCACTAAAATCTCACAAATGTCATTTTAATCTGACCAGGAAGATTCCCCATAATACAGACAGCATTTCTATGAGTCATTTTATAAGGTCCTCATTCACACCAGGAGAGTCCAAGAACCCATCGCACTCCTGACCGCTAACCCCAAAGCGATAAGATGGGTGCCGCGGTGGTGAACGGGTGGCAACCGTTATATATCAGTAGCAGCAGGGACACCGGCACTCCAGTAGAAACGTAGAAGGTCTTATTTATTAAAGAGGTGCAACATATCACATAAGTGCAACGACCGTTTCGGGGTCACGCAGGATCCCCTTCCTCAAGCAGTGACATGTCAATCGGTCGTTGCACTTATGTGATATGTTGTAGACTTGTGCGCCGTCAAAAAATTAGTTTAGTTGCGTTTCGGAAATATCCGTTATTTCGTATTTCGTAATTCGTGTCCGAAACTCAATCCGTATTTGTACGAAATACGTATTTTCGTTAGTTTCGTCACATTTTCGTAACTTTACGAACATTGGTTATGATGAAGTTAAAAAGCAAAAATACCTTTGTTAAGGTAACGGAATTCGTATTTCGGATAAAAAAAACAACTACCACATCGACTCCAATATTAACAAAGGTATTTTTGCTTTTTAACTTCATCATAACGAATGTTCGTAACGGAACGAAAATCAGTTAACGGAATTTCGTATTTCGGATAAAAAAAATAAAATCTTGTCGTGTTGTTCAACCTCAATCACAGGGGTAATATTAGATCCCGTTTCAACGAAATTCGGATCCGAAATTCGTTAACGGAATTTCGTATTTCGGATACATTCGGAGACTGCAATTCGTATTTCGGATGCTTCCGAATTTACGGAAATTCGTACGAATTTCAATTCGTAGCGAAACGAATCGCACATGTCTAATATGTTGCACCTCTTTAATAAATAAGACCTTCTAAGTTTCTACTGGAGTGCCGGTGTCCCTGCTTCTACTCATTGACATCAGGTGCACAGATTAACGCAAGCAAGAAAGCAAATGTTCTCTATGTGGCGTGTTCGCATCATACGCGTGCGTTGGTTTGCGTTGCATAAAAATGCGACATGTCTGAATTTTTGCGCAGCCCAATGCAGAACAAGGCGTTACAATGTGCCGCTCAGAGTTTAATGAAGGGGCTGATTTATAAATGCTCCGCCCAGCGCATAGCTCCCTGGGTGGCGCTAGAGCCGTGTGTGAACAGCAACACTGGTGGGGGG